ACACACACACACACACACACACACACACACACACACACACACACACATACATGTGTGTGTCTAGACAGACAGATATACAGACAAAACAAATAAAATCTTATAATTATGTTCACTTTTTTTAGTGGTCCAGGAATACTTCATGTTGGTCATCAGCTTCCACAGAGACTGTCAACAGATTTATGTCCTAAGGGTTTCTGTTTCAATTATTCCCCTCTAGACTTCTACCTGGTAAACACGCCTTCCGCTGGGTGATGAGATTAAAGTGACGGACTCTCGGTCAACTAGGTCCAAGGCCTGGATGGCTGATGACCCAAACACAAACTTCAGCCTAGGGAATACAAAGACACTGGATTAGAAGGGCTGATTCTGAGTCACCTCAAGAGCTTGACATAAAGGATAACATTCTGTGAGTGTGAGAGTGTGTGTGAGTGTGTGAGTGACTGAGTGAGTGAGTGTGAGTGTGTGTGTGTGTTGTTCCTCAGGTGCAATCTACTTCTTTCAAAGAGGGTTGCTAATGGGCCTGCAAGTTGCCAGGAGGCTAGTGCTGTGATTACGAGGGCACATGGCACAGCTGGCTTTTAAAAGCGGCTGTGGGATTGAACTCAGGCACCTGTTCTTCCAAGACAGTTTACAACTGAGCTACTTCCCACAGCTAACTCCCAGATTTAAGACAAAAAACAAAACAAACCATCACCAACCCTAATTTTCATCTGGAAAAAAATATTAACAAAATCCATGGACTTGGGTTGGAGAGATGGCGCAGAAGTTAAGAGTGCTAGTTGCTCTTCCCAAGGACCTGGGTTTGACTCTCAAGACCCACATGGCAGCTCCCTACCATCTATATCTCAAGTTCCCAGAGATCTGATGCCTGTCTCTAGCCTCTACAAGCATGCATGCATGTGGTGCACAGACAAGCATGCAAGACTTCATACACATAAAATAAAGAGTTAGGAAAAACCAACCAAGCAATGACACCAAATTCACGGACTCATTTGCTCCCTAGAATAAATGCTAACATCTGGCTCATTTAGCTCAGGTGTGTTTTGCTTCACTATTGCAGCTTTAAAAAGCAGCAGTAGCATCTCTCTTTGTACTTCTTTGCAGAGCGTCCACTCATTTCTTTCCTTTCCATCCCTCTGGCAGGATGTGCTCCCACCTCCCTTTCTCTCTCCATCCTGGCCCTGGGGATGGAGCCCAGGGCCTCATACATTTCAGAATAAACCCTTCCTCTGAGCTACAGCCACACCATGATCTCTTGCTACTTACTGCTTCTTTCCCGTTGATGTTTCTGTATTTTATTATTCATGGAATGACTGTGTAGAAGTACCTATGCATACACAGCACAGCTTATAAAGTTTAAATATAACATGTGTATTGCTTCATTTTCCTCTAAACTAGTCTCACACCCAACATTACTAGGAAGAATTGAGGAGCGCTTTTACACTTCCTATGCCAAATACACAAAGACTTATTTAGTCAACAAAAATAAGGAAATTATGTTTGCTGAAGAACTCCTTAATCAGAGATAACCACAATTAATTTCAATTATTTAAAAATGGCTTTGTCTACTTCATGACTTCTATGAACATCTAACACATTAAATATGTCTTTTATTAATTCTGATGGCCATAGAAATAACTCTACTGCAAAAATGAATCACTTTTACTCTTTCTAAACTATTTATGAGTAGATTCTTTCCAGCTTGTTGTGTTGTCAGAGACAGCAGTGGGTGAATCTTCTCTCTGTAAAATCTTTATCAACAGCTCAGTTTCTTCCTTGGGAGACATTCTTATACGTGGAATAACTAGGTCAAAGACCATGTATGCTTTAAAGCCATATTGCTGGGTGACAGATGTGGTGGCTTGAATTGCGAATGGCCTCAGAGGCTCATACACACGAGTATTCGATCCACGGGTGGGAGAGCTGTTTGGGAAGGATTGGGAAGTGTGGCCTTGGAGGAGGTGTGTGACTGTGAGGGGGCGGGGGCGGGGGGAGCTTTGAGTTTTTTCTCTCTCTGCCTTGTGCTTGTGGATGAGATGTAAGCGCTCAGCTGCTTCTCTAGCATCAGGAATGCTATACTGCCTGCTTGCTATGTTCCCACCACAACAGTCAAGGACTCACCTCTGAAACTGTAAGCAAGCCAGCAGGTAAACGCTTTCTTTTATAAATAGCCCTGGTTATGATGATGGTCACTGCAGTGCAACAGTAACTAAGACACCAGGTTATCTTCCGATTGACATCCCTACCAGTGTATTCCATAGTCCTGCCAACATTTTTTTCCCTGTGGTTCCTAGTTTTATAGAAGAAAAGTCTTTTAATTTGCATTTTATGATTATCAGTAATATTTATTATTTTCCCCAAAAAGCTTTTTGCTATTTGCATTCTTTTATTATTTGCCTACTTTTAATTTATTCATTTACTTAAAAAAAGATTTGTTTGATTTTATGTGTAAGCGCATGTGTCTGAGTAAATATGTGTGTTGTGCGTACAGGTGCTCATGGAAGTCAGAGGGGGCTGTCAGGCTTTTGTGAACCTCCTGAGCTGTGTGCTGGGAACCAAGCCAAATGCTCTTAACCACTGAGTCTGCTCTCCAGATCTGACTTAGGTTTTTGTTTTGTTTTGCTTGAGACAAAGTCTCACATAGGTCAGGCTGATCTCAAACGTCCGTGGAGCTGAGGATAACCTTGAATCCTGGTCCTCATGCCTTCTACCTTCCAAGTACTACAATTACAAGCGTGCCATCATATCTGCTTTTTTTTTTAAACAGTAAACGAGTATGTGGATGGGTGTTTTGCCTGCATGCAGGTCTGTGCGCCATGTGTCTACAGTGCCCACAGAGGCCAGAAGAGGCATCGGATCCCCCGGAGCTAGAGTGATTATGTACCTTCTGAACAGAACTCTGGTCCTCTGGAGTAGCAGCAAGCCATATCTCTAGCCCTTCCTTTTTGTTGTTGTTGTTTGTTTCTGGAGACAGGGTTTCTCTGTGTAGCCCTCGCTATCCTAGGACTCAGTATATAGACCAGGCTGGCCTTGAACTCAGAGCTCCGCCTGCCTCTGCCTCCCAAGGGCTGGGATCACAGGCTTGTGCCACTACTGCCCAGCTCCCTTTTCCTATTTTTAAAAACCAAGATATGTACTGAAAGGATCTGGCTCTTAAAACCGGATGACTTTTTTATGGATCAAGCAAGAGTATGTACTTACGATGAGAGAAGTTCATCAGGAACTGTAAAGTGGAAATAGAAAGTTAATCGTGTTAGACTTGAAGATCGAATAACAACTATAACCAAATCACCACATAAGATGTACAGCGAATCTACGTAAGCCAGTTCTCCACCTTTCCCAAACTCTACTGAAACAGTAAGGGGATTTATTTTCTTCTTTAAAGAAAACCATCAGTTCCCAAGGATGAGAAAGGCAGAGGAGGGCAACAGCTTAAATACACTGGAGGCTGATACAAAAGTAGAACATAACTCTCCAGATAGACCTCAGCGTGATGAATCCCAAGCTCTCGGCAGGGAGAACCAAGCACAAGCTTGACACATTCCAGAACCTACCACTCTCCTCCCCAAGCCTCCTCAGCACAGAGGCAGGCAGGTTCCTATGAGTTCGAGGCCAGCCTGATCTACATATTGAATCTAAGGACAGCCAGGACTGTGTACGCTGTGCCTGAAAAATAAGTAAGTAAGTAAGTAAGTAAGTAAATAAATAAATAAATAAATAAATAAATAAATAAATAAAAAGGGACCAGTCCCAGTTCCTTTCTTAGCTGTGGGTGGCTGTTGCTACCTCACTCTGGCAGATGACCACTGATTTTCAAGAAAGGCTCAAACTGAGGATTTCTGGACTAGGAGAAAACACCCAAAACTTGCTGCTCTCTTCCCAACATGGCTCTTGTAAGATAAGCAACCAGCCCTTCTCCTTTTCCCTCAGCCACTGAGCTGCTCCCAGGTTTTCACCCTCGAGGCAGGAGTCTCACTGGGGAATCTGACCAAGTCAACAGGGAACAGCACTGGAATGGCTGCTCCAGCTAAGAAACCTAGAAAGAACTGCAGTGACATTCACGTCCTGTAAGTCCTTGCTTGAGTCTTCTACTCCTAAACATGGCAACTAAGAATTACCACAACAAAGTAAAGAGAGCACAAAAACAACAAAAGAAATCTAATTAGAGGGAAAAAATAAAGCCAGAGGAAAACTTCCAATAAGTATTATTAATATCAGAACAAAAAAAGCTAATGTAATAATAAAGCAGGCATGAGGTATAAAAGTTACTCTCAGGGGAAAATTATAAATTATAACATCACACACAAACTTCATAGAAAATCTGGAAGATACAGATGATACAGGTCAAGTTCCCAAGAAGCAGAGTGGGAGACCAAAAGACAAAATACAGAAGATGCAGACACACATAAATGAAAACAAACTTGAACCAAATCAGAAGACTGCGCATCGTGGTGGTCATAAAGATTTAACTGGCCCTCCACACCCATGGCATCAACAGCTGTGGACTCAACTCACGCGAGATAAGAACTGAGGGGCTGGGGCGAAGGCTCAGCAGTTAAGACCTGAGAAGCAGGGTTCATGCCCCAGCTCCCTCATACTCCAGTCCAAGGAGATCTGGCGCCATCTTCTGGCCTCTGGGGGCATTGCACATACATGGCACACAGACATACAGACACACGCGCGCACGAACACTTAGACACACAAAAGTTTAGAAAAGAGACTGAAGGGCCAGGCACGCGCCCGTGGCTGCAGCACGCAGAAGCATTCTCTTGTCTCCACTTCCCAAACGCGGAGATGGCAGCCTCCAAGCACTGGCCGGCATGCAAAGACCATCCTTGGCTAGTCACTTTGTTGGAGACGGGCGAGTGGCGCCCCCGCTGGCCACAGGGCAAAAGCACGTCTCAGCTGCCCGAGGTTTAGGTTTTGTGTCCCTAGAATTTCAGTAAAATATATCTACTAAACAAAGTAAACGAGAGTATTACTTGTAGACTTTACATTCCGGATAGTGGGAGAAGACCCTGCGCATCTCAAAACTGTCTAGGCGCCTGGCATTCCGCCTCCCGGGCCCTCGCCCTCGCCTCGGGGGTACACGGCGGCTCCCTCGCAGCGCCCGCTCCCAGAGACCCGCTGGCACTCGGGGATCTGCCCTCCAGCCACCCAGATTCCTGCGGGTTAGTTAAGCCATTTAACAAGCGCGGGCTCTGGAGACAGAGCCACGCGGGGTAAGCGCAAAAAGCCGCGCGCGGGCCGTACTTCTCGCGCCGTCCCGCACGGCGGCGGCCACCTCGCCCAGGAGCTCCTCCACGACTTCCGGCAGCGTGACGGCCATGGCGCGCCGTCCGCGTCCTCCTCAGGCGCTCCGGGCCCGAGGCGGGGCGGGGCGGCGTGACGTCGGCGCGCGTCATCGCGCGTCATCGCGCACGCGGGCGGGAGGCGGGGCGTCCCGGGCCGGCTGGGGCTGGCGGAGGCGGCGCTGAGGAGGCAGCGCCGAGGACGCGGCGGCATGTTCCGGCTTCTGCGCTGGCGTCTGGGCCGGACCCTGCTGCGGGCCGCGGGCCGGCGGTGCGGGGGCGGCGCCGCGCGGC